ACCTAAAGAATGCTATAGAAACCGACCTAGAGGTAACAGACCTAAAGAATGCTATAGAAACCGACCTAGAGGTAACAGACCTAAAGAATGCTATAGAAACCGACCTAGAGGTAACAGACCTAAAGAATAATCAAATTAATTTACGAAATTACCTAATAATTATCTCATAGTATTAACCACAGTCATAACAAGAAAACTGAGGAGTAGGAAGACGACATTAAAGTTTTATATTGTTACAAAGCAAATAGTTTTACTACTAAGTTGTTAGTTCATGTTTTAAGTGAAATGGGTCTGTATACACTGCACAATTGCTGTGATGTATATGCATTAGATTATTTGAAGTCATAAACTTTTCAAGAAGGAATATAATTCATACAAACTAATAGAGAATGGGATTTGAGACTTTGAAATGGGGAAACATAAAAATTGTATGATAAAAAACGCTTGGCAAGTTTTTTTTTATATTTTTATTTTCTCAAACCTTCCTGTATAAAATATCTGAAAAATATTCATTTCTTCTTTAAAATTAGTTTTCTTTGGTCTGAATTTTATATGTCACGAAATTCCCAAGATTTACAATATTTCAAATAGGGAGGGAATGCAGAAGTCCTCAATTAGTAACCTGTGTTCGCTGCTGCAACTGCGCATTTGCACTGTTTACCTGTGTTCCCATCCGGTGTGACTTTATGTAGAACCGACAGGGGTCTGTTTGAGACCCGACCCATCTCAGCTAGAAATGTTACCAATTTTGAGATGAAACTGGAACCCATTATTAGTGGACTTTATACTTTATTTTTACTAATGGCTGTGATGAGACCGAATAAAATTTTAATTTTGTTCTTTCAATGCATGTAATTAGTTTTGTTGTATAAGTTGAACTCGAGTAGGCGAATAAAAAAATCTAAACACAAAGGCTTTTTGAAAATATCTTTTAAATGGGGATAGATATTACTTTGCTCAGAGTGAGATAATTTTTAGTAATCAGTCAGCCCAACCTTTTAGTATCTTAGCTCCAATCACGAAATGCAGTCATAAAATCAGCGAATTGGATTTAAGATTTGGCTAATTAGATTTAGTTTAACTCAATACGGTTGCCATGAAACCCAGATAGATGTCAAAAATTGTGTTAAAAATGCGTTAAATTAAAATCTCAGAAAGATTTTACGGTGATTACCAATTGAGGTGGTGGAGATTACCAATTGAGGAGCGCGTATGCCGCAAAACATGTTTAGGGTGGCGGTGATTACTAATTGAGGACTTCTGCACTCCCCCCCTCTGTTTTAACACACACCTACAAACAAAAGTCTATGACAAAACTATCCACTTCTTATATATTCTAAACTCATCTTAACTTCGCTGGAAAGGAAAAAAATATATTCTTGTATGTATCCATTTACTTTTATTTATACCTTTCTAAAATACTCTACAATTTTTTTTATATTTTTTTGCGAAAGAAAGCGAAAACGATGCGGAATTTAAAAAAAAACAAATTTACGACTTTGTCGCAAAAAGTTCGCGAAAGAAATGTAATGCGAAAAATTGAAAATTTTCCTAATTCTAATTTTGCATTTTATACGATCGGAATGCGAAAATGTTCGCGAAAAACTTTCCCCATATCGCTGGACCCTCTAGCGCTAATCCAATCAATCCAAAAGTTTAGAAAGAAATTGAGTTTTTGCCAACACTTTCAATGTTCTGACACCTATATTTTTGAAACCTAATAGCGTAAGCCTTTGATATTTCAAATTTAAGATAATTTGATCTAACAGAGTTCATAATTTGAAATTTATACAATATACGACATCGTGTATAGGATATAGGATTTATAAAATCAGAGTTTGTTGCAAAAACTCCGTTTCTTTCCTTGAAAAAAATTGGAACCATATTTCTTTGTTTTCCAGAACAAGAAGATCACCAACGCTTGTTATTGTTGTTGTAGGAAGCGTTTACAGTGTTGTTGCTGTTGCTGTTGAGAGATATTACACAATATGTAGACCGTTCAAGTACAATATGGTAAGTATCTGTAGACACCGTTCAAGTACAATATGGTAAGTATCTGTAGACACCGTTCAAGTACAATATGGTAAGTATCTGTAGACTGTTCAAGTACAATATGGTGAGTTTCTGTAGACACCGTTCAAGAACAATATGGTAAGTTTCTGTAGACACCGAACAGGTGCAATATGTTAAGTATCTGGAGACTGCTCAAGTCAACAAGCTGCTGTATAACATGGTATCAGATATATTCAAATAATGTTTAACTAATTCTTATTAATTTGGTCTCAATTGACAATACATGGAAAAGATCTTTGTATTGTTATTAGACAATTACTATTTTCTAAAAAAAATAGTACTAACCTTTAAATTATCTTAAAATGTACTGTCTAACATCAGGGGCGCTTAAACTGATTTCCCTCCCTCCGGAATTCTTTAAAAGAGGTTGACCCACCCCCCTTGACAGTTCCTGTATAAATCTGCCTTTTTAACAAAATCAAATTTTTTAACCTCAATTTTTGATCTTACTGTTTTGTCATGTATATGTCATTTATATGTCAAGTATATGTCATGATTCTATTTTTTTAATTTTAGAGAATTTAAAAGTTATGTTTTACTTTTTCAATTCAGAAAATTTTCGGTAATTTCCCATTAGAGGTTCTATATGAGACCATTGAAGATTTAATAAATTTAATTAATGTTAATATGAACATAAAAATGTTAATGTTAATAATAAATATTAACATATAAATAAACATCAATTGCTTAAAGTCAATGTTAATGTTAATGTTAATGTTAACGTTAATGTTAACTTTATATACTGACAACCATAAACTTTAATGAATTGTTTAAAGTCAATGTTAATGTTAATGTTAATGTTAATGTTAACTTTAACTT